CTCCAGAAGTCTGTCCAATGAACCCCGAACAATAAGTAATCGCCCCATTGTCTTGATTTGTGGGAGAGAATTATTCCGAGCTCCGATAGAAATATAAACAATTAGAGGAATTACAATGGACTTCCCAGCAACCTCTCATCGTTAAGCTCTTTAAGTTCTGAAAACTGAAGGCAGAAATGTTCACTTAAATGTAGTAATTTCTGGCCCTCGTCATCCTATTTCTGGTCGGGATCCACATGTGCACTCTGCTCCTGGCCCAGGACAACCAATCCGTTCTGACACGAGTCCAGTTGGGCACCACCTTAGCATACCCATCCTTCACCAACCATTTTTGAATAACTAATGAAGGTGCCAGTTAAACGGCAGCACTACGACAAGGACGTCAGCAGGACGGCAACAATAAAACAATAACTGAGAAACAGGAGGAATGCTCGGGGTCGAGGCCCCGAATCCTGAATCCTGGCCTGAATATGAAATTCGGATTTCATCCGACTGTCGACATTCATCTTGCCAACTGTCTGTCGGGCATTAGGAGTGGAGTATCCTCTGTCCGCCGGCCAGGACTTATGCATCATAGTCAAAATATTAACAGCTGGCACATTCTAGAAGGACTCCTTCCCTTTTACCCCTCACATGAGGACTTAAGCCTCGAGCTGGTTCAGATGATGATGAAATATATAGAAATTTAAGTATTTCGGGACTAACAAATGGGTCAAATCCTAACTGATTTCGGACTGTGTTCTTCTGAAAGCTGGCTTGCCTTTAGCCTCTGACCCTGCCAACTGGCTCCTGCATCTGGAAGGGATGAGACTTTAAGGGAAGAACTTTAAATGGAAGGATGCTTCCGCATTTGCATAGGGATGTGGAAAGCAGCTTAAGCCGGGGCATAAATAATAACAGAAATTTATAAATCGACACTCAGAAGTGATTGAGACGGAAAGGAGTTTGAGCTCCTGAACCTGCGAAATCTCCGAGAAAAGTCATTGGAGTGGAAGAGTGAAGAAGGGAAGCAGGATATCCTCTGCATGACAAGACAAGGAGATATCTGATGCATCCATCGCTCCATTCTGATTCAAGATGAGGTGAGTGCACTCTCAGTGGCAAGAACTCATCCGCATATCGATTTCCATCAGTGGAGTGCAGCTGACTGCAGTTTCTGGGGGTGGAGTGGAAGGATATCTGTTGATGTAATGGGGGATTCTAAACAAACCTGCTCTGAAACAAATTAAAAACAAACATCAAACTCAAATATTAATGTCCTGCGAAGCCATTCACCGATTTCCAATCGGATCGGTAACAAAATAAACCAAAAAAGAAGGCAATTTAGAAAAATTATTCGCAGCTCTGGTTCAGTTGGTTTGTTTGCCTTTTGTCTAGAAAAACAGCGGGAAAAAAGTGTCACTTGTTCACTCACTCGCAAATGAAGAAACATTCCCCCAAAATAGCTGCATGCCTCCAAATGGAGTCGTCTCCATTTTCATTTCCATTCCACGCCATCCCACTGAATCTCGGCCTTTTTTCCCAGTTCTCCATCCTCGTTACCCAGAGACGAGGCTGAAAATAAACCTTTTCGGGTATTCAAATGTTATTTTTGGCGCTAGGTTTGTGGTGCTCCCAGCCCTCTTTCCCAGCAGTCTTTGTGTTAAAAAAAGCGTGTGAAATGCGGAAGTATTTGTTGCTCGTTGTCACTGAAGTTTGGAATGGAAGGAGCGCCGAGGGCAACCGCAGCCAGGAAAGCGCCTTCAGACTTTCTCTCTCCCATTCTCAGTTTCTATATTTTTCTGAATGGGGATTCCTTGGAAAAACATCCGGTTTAATTTGCCTCCGGCTTTTGAGGGCACTTGAGTGCTCCACTGATTGATGGAAATCCTTCCGAGGGAAGGGAAGGTGAGCTGGATCCTGTATTTCGCAATGCAGGTCCTAATTTCATTGTTCATTGATGAGCAGCTTGCACCTGACGAGCTGCCCACACGTCCTGCCAACGCACATCGCATACATATATAGCCAGGGATCGGGCGAAATGCGACGATTTCTGTCGCAGAGACCCAAACAATAATTTCGATTACGGAGTCACAGGTCCGAAATTCTGGCAGCCACAGATGCAATTAAATGTTAATCGATTGTGTTTCGTAGTACGTGTGGGCGTTAGTCGCCTGCCACGCCCCTCAACTGCATGCGTGAGAAGGACACTCGACGGCAGAAGGGAAGGGTGGACGGATGATGACCTCTTGCCTCTCAGAGGGACGCCAGGGGATAACTTGTGTGTCAGAGGCGTAATTAATTGTAAATAATTGTGAATGTGTCACTTGCAATTTATTTATTTTCCAAAGACATTCCTTAACAACAAAGGATAAAGGATTCGAAGAAAACAAACCTGGGGTTGACTCTTCTAGGGTCGCTTTAAAGTCCTCAACTCATTTGTATGCACAGCAGCCCAAGGAATGGTCAATAATAGGGACAGCTTAAGGTAACCCTTGTCCCCAGCATCCTCTTATTAAAAACTGAAAGATGGGCTGCGGTTTCCATGGGAGCATATTGCGCATACGCCATGTGGCCTGCTCCAGCTGGTAGATGCCTCAACTTGCTTCCAGACATTTGCATGTCAAACGCGTGCTAATTTCAAATTACTGCGACACTCCAACTCCGATTCGCAGCCCTTCCCCAGATGTCCTGGTTCCCCTCCGTCCCTACCAGCTCGATCGCATTATTTATGACTCGTACGCTTTCTGCGTCATTTTATAAACATTTTCCAAACATGTTCCGAGCTCCGACCTCGCCTCGCAAAGTTGTCGGAGGCTGCAGCAGCATATAAAATGTATAAAAATAAAAAGCGGGCGACTTTATGTTTTATTTATGAACCCTGACACAAAAAGTTCGCACGGGACTCCGGAATGCGTGTCGCCTCTTAATGTGGCCAGCAGAAGCAAAGAAAAGGTACTCCTACTGATGGGTAGGAGTATTACCCAATCGATACCCGATATGCAGATGCTCATTAAGTCGCAAAGTGGCTGCCATATGCTCGTAAAAGGGTCAGGGGTCAAGGGCTAACTATAAGCCCCAAGACAGGTTCCCTGGGAGGGCAACTCAAGGAGCCACAAACCACAAATCGCCGTTTAAATATTAATACATCAATCCACTTAATATGCGAGTTTATGCCGTCGAACGATGCAATAAATATAAAAAGGCAAGTCAGCCCACAGACACTCGTATAAAGATGATGCCCATATGCTGAGTCCTGTTGTAAATCCTTCTCCAGTGTCGGCTCCTGCTGCAGTATCTGTGTCCTTCCTCTGTGGGTTTGGGAGTAGGTGAATATCCACACCACTTTGTGATGAGTTTTTTCCTCACTCAAGTGATGGATGCATTGGAACACACATCATAAAGGGACCACAAAGAGAATCTCCATTAAAGTTACTGCCAGACTTCAATGGATTTTCATATTTTGGGCTCTGGCCTCTGAGGTTTTATTTGGCTTGTATTCCTGGCAGAAGTCAACCGCAATATGGTAGGAAAGCAAACAAGATTGTATTACGCCAAAGACAAAACAAATTTCTGGCATAAGCGCGCACTTCCTGAGAATTTTCTCGCTCCTGACTGCTGGCCGACGAAGGTACTGGCATAAAGGAAGTGGGCTTCTTGTTTACTCGAAGAACTTATAAAGAAAACATCAACTTGTATTTCCGTCTGCACTGAAATTGGGATGGGTCTAACAATAACACCACGAACACAGAACAGCAGCTTCAACAATATCCTGGCCACAGAAGTTGCCGGGATATCAAAGCAACATTTTGCATTAAAACTTAAGAAATCATTGGATTCAACGGCTGTGGCTGGAGGAGGATGCAGGCAGGCGAGGGATGTCAAATATTTTCCTTGGCCAAGAATGTTGCGTAACATATACTTGTGCGTTATGACTGCACGAGCAGAACCGAAAAATCTTAAAAAGAAGACCTTGCATTGGGTGTGTTATTTGTTTATATTCCGCATTAGAGTTCGTTTCTTGGGAAAATCTGGGAAATAGAAAGTTTATAAAATGTGACATCAAAGGTTTTTTTGAACAAATAAATAAATTTGGAACCTCATTAGAGAAAACTTTAAGGGAAAGACTTTCTCATAAAGTTCCAAATTGTGTTTGGCAGACCACCCTTAAAACCAAGAAATAAATCTGTGAAAACTAAGCCAAGCTGGAATTTAAATTTCTCATAAATATTTCGCCTAGTTTTGAAATCACCTGGATTTGGCTATTCCCGGCTAAAAGCCCGATGCCATCGTAAATCCCCATTCAAGTTCAGGTCACAACCCTTGTGGAGGCACCAGAAACCGCAGTGTAAACCAAACAGGAACAGCATTTGCCGGGTTCGCTCGTCGGAATTAATTTTGGCTTAGGGCTTACACATTCTTGGCCAATGAGATTTATGCGTTTGCTTACAAGAGCGTTTGCTTCTTGTTTTTGTTGTACTTTCTCCGGCTCGCTTTCTCTCTCTCTTTCTCCGGCTTCCAGTTCACCCACATTTTTGTCCCACGAAGAGCAAAAGTTAAATAAATATATGTATATGAAAAAAAATGTAACATAAAGGCGCAAAACAAAATGTTGTTTTGGTTCTGAATCCGTTTTCTCCTCGAATTTCTTTCTCAGGCCCCACAACGCACGTGTTTCGTTCGAAAAATTGTGGCGCCTGCGCCCCAATCCTTTTCGAAACTGGACGAAACTTGGGAAACCTACAGCCGATGGCCCAAACGATTCAAGCCGAAAGTATGGTCGTGTTTTAAAAGCCGAAACCTGGCCGAACTGATTTTTTTGCCGTGCCAATGAAGCGAAGGCGATTTGGAATCAGTTTGACTCGAACCTGCTCCGGAAGTGGAAGACAGTACCGCGAGTTCCTCGACCAAAAAAAACCCAATTATTTGAAACCAAAGTCCCATCAATAATTAATAAATACAACGACAGATCAATAAATAATAATATTTAATAATTTCTAAAAATAATGAATAGTTATACAAAGGTGTTTAATAATTAAAATACTCCCAGTGAGGTGTGTGAGTGCGGTCATAAAAATAATTCCTGCCACATCAGCAGGCCACAATAAATTCTGCGGTTGTGGATCGTTAAAATTTCGCTTACCTGAAATATTGCAGTGGCGTTCTCCATTTATTTTAGCAATTTGCATCCTGCATCAGGCAAGAGGGAAAAATTCATTAAAAATACAGCTGCAGCTCAAGTCGAGACGGTTGCTCAGCTCCACTCAACCCTGTGCCACATAAATTTCACGGCAATCAGCCGGTGCTGCAAGTCATCCAAACTTCATTTGTTGCCGCTTGGGCTGTGCTCCTGGAGTTGGAGTGCAGTGCTCCCAGGACTCGGCTCTCAGCTCCAAGTTCCCAGATCCCAGCTACCAGCTCCGTGCTCCTTCAACTGAAATATTGCTTCCATTATTTATGTTAAGTTTATGCAACATTCTCCGTGCATCCTGAAGCAACCTGCCACGGCTAGTGCTACTGCTACTTGCTACTTGCGACTGCAGCCCGGTGCTTGGCTCTCTCTTGTTTTTAATATCCTTCAGCTTGTAAAGGAATTACTCCTCGAGTCGGATCCCGAGGCATTCGGCTGGCTTGGATATCCCTCATTTTTATCATTTTCTTTTCGCTCTTCTCTATTTTCATCATTTGCCTCGTTATTCAAACATCATTATCCTTCTGGTTCACTGCACTAGGTGCCCGGGAAAAAGGATAATGGGTACTAGATGCTGCCATCGAGTGCATTAATAAATCAATTTTTTCCCATTTTTTTCTGCATCTCAAAGAGGCCGTTTATCTGCAGGAATTGACAGATCAATAATGAAAGAGGAATCATGAAACTGAAATGTAATCGCAGTCAGGCAATCCAATTTGCCAAGAAATGAACTCTAATTTGATAGAAAAGTTGTTAGACATTTTAAGTAGAAAAAAAGAGAAAATGAAATCTTTAAAACTAACTAAGAACTATTATAATTAGACCACCATGGGAAAATAAATTGTGGTGTGTGGCATGGAACGTGAGCTTCTTGTGCATTTTTCGCCTCAAGCTCATTAACTTGAGGCACTCGTTGCCAGATACTTATTTTCCCCTTGGCGGTAAAAAGGATAATAGAGCGAAAACAAAAACATTTACTAATTAGCACTCCAAGGCTGCAATGAACAATGAATGTAAAATTATCAAATCGTTTGTTTTTGGCTTTCTGTTTTTAAGCTATTAGCGAAGAAAATAAATGAAAGGTTTTTTTTTCAGCAACATTCTTGTATTCCAACATTCTGTAAGGAATTTTCGTGGTAGGTCGTAGGGGCATGAATGAAAAGAAAACGAATTTTAAATGCATTTTCTTGCTGCACTCCATGTCACGCGTTGAATATCTTGTTACGGTGGCTTTCCTACACAGAAAGAAAAATTAATAATATTGCTGTTTAAGGCTTTCTTTGATTATTAAAGTTAAAAGATTAAAACAGTCTTTAAATAAGCAGATTTCTTGAAAGTTTCTTTGAAACATAACTAGTTTAATAAAGTTTCTTCTAACAATATGGTTGTACCAGTGTAGCCACTACTTCTCCTCCTTCAGATACGAGTCACTCCTCCTGAAAACAATTCCATTTGCACTGGCTGTCAGATCTCCAGGCATTGCTCAGCTGCCTGGTCGACAATTCTCCTGTCGCGGCCACAGGACATGGCGAAAGAGATGCAGATGGTGCAAGAAAAGAGACGGCTACCAGATGACAGCCATGAATGCCACTTCTTCTGCTACCTCCGAGCATAATTTACATTGTATTCTCCGGCTTGAGTGTGCAGTTGAGGCTGTCTTTTATGGTTTGTCTTCAGGCTTTTGCGTTTTTCTGCAATTCTTTGTTTTTTTTTGTTTTTTTTTGGTAGAAATGCCACATTGCAATTCGCGATGCCAGAGCGAGAATTTCAGTTGTCACAACTGAGGAATTTTGTGAGTGAAATGCTTTCTTCGAGCGGAAAGCCGAGTTAGCTTCAATTTATACATGTCAGGCTTGTTAAGCTGTGATTGCCGGCGATGGCATAAAACTGGACTCTGGCGGCCAAATTGCATCATAATTACCAAACTGCCTCCGTGCCCCATTCCCAGGCCCTAAGTGCTTTTTAACGAGCTCGCTTTCGGTTCGACCTCTATGTACTACAAAACTGGAAAAAGCGAAAAATTTGAACATTTGATTTCACGATTTTGGTTCGTAATACTCCCCAGCGAACCAAACAGCAGCCATCCATGGACGCTGTTTGAATCCTGCTGTAATAATCTCGTACATGAACCCAGTAATTTGTAATTTCAACCTAATTACTTCAGGCCCGGCCCGATCCTTGCGTGGAGAAATGGCTGGAGGTCAGAGCGAAACAATGTTGTCAACAATAAAATGTCAAAAAGCAAAGCAAGGCTACAACAGTACGCCCATGGACCCGCCCACGCAGTCCTGTACGGTGGTGCGTGTGTGTGAGTGTCAGGACTTTCGTCCTTTTTCTGCGGGCTGATATGTTAATCATCTGACGGACATTTCTGGGTCATTTGAATTGGTTTTTTCACGTCTAATGTTTCTATTTTTGTTACATTTTTGTAGTTCTATCAATCAGCAAAAAAAAGTTGCCTCATTAATGAAATTTAAAATGCAGTGTGTGATTAAAAAAATCTAATTAATCATTTACGGATCTATTTTAATAATTTATTGTCATTTGACTTTAATTATAAGCCTTATTAGCATACTACAGCTATATTACATTTAGACTCGGTTTAATTATAAATTAAATTGTATGGCTTTCATAGAAAACCTATATGGCTTTATTGACATTTTAATATCTATTGAAAGTTTTCAATATGGGTAAAAAAAACTATATTAATAAATGCAGAAACGTTAATATTTTAGTCTTCTGTCTCTTTAGTTACCAAACATTTGACAGCACAAACAATTTTTATACTTTTTTTGAGTCAGAATCAAATATTAATATTTCGAAGCGCCAACTGAGTTGAGTTGAGTAAATGGATCAACCGAATCATGGTCGAATGGAGTTTCGGGAGGAAGCCAGCGGGAGTCTGGCCATTCAGGAAGCCGATATGGAATGTTCATTCATATTTTATTTCGCAAAATTGTTCGCGACCAAGTCGGGGGAAGAGCCAACTGAATTGTCAGCCTAACCAGTCAGTTAAATGCATTTCCATGAAAAAAACAAGAAGCTAACAGAAGCTTATGATGGTCCAAAGTGGTGATACTCTTTATGAAAAAATATTATTGATATTTTTCAAAAATGTTACATCATGAATAGACTATGGAAGTTTTATCTGAATCCTTAACTCTTCGGAATTTTTTTTTATACAATAAAAGAGTAGGGCAATGAAAGTTCCACCATTTTGAAAGTGGTAACAACAGTTATGGCAAAAAATCAGCGGTCACAATGGTAGTAGCCGTAAAAGTAACAGTTACAATGACACAGTCGTTACTTCTGGCCATCCATCGTGGTTCTGCACTTTATAATGCGCATTGCCAGGGCCATAAAATAGTAACGTCAATGGAACGCATTCATATGTGGCCATATTCGTATATACAATCGGTGTATATATGTATGTAGGGGCTGACCGGAATAAAGTGCTATTAATAATAAATGTTGCATTTTCAGAGGGCAAAGGCAAAAGGGTAGGCCAAATGAACTTGGCAAACAGAGAACCGAAAACAATAGTTAAAGCCTGGCTACAAAAGCTGGAATATGCTAGTATTGGATACACTATATTGATATTAAATTTTGTGTTTCTGTTAATGGTTAAGTTTTTAGTTAGAAAACTTTTGCCAACTTTGTCATGTAAAAAGCTGAAAACATTCTATTGGAATATGATGACCTCTATCCTGAACCCTTTTATTTTTTTTACTGAAAATTGTAGTCAACATACAACGTTGTAAAGCCCAGGCACTGGCAACGATTGCAACAGCAACAATGGCCAATGGCGGGACGATTGCCATAATAATAATAGGGAATGCCATAATCCCCTGAAATCGGCGTTTCCCTGTGGCCGTTGACTGCCCTTTTTGTTGTTTTTATTATTTCCACATGCCATGTGTTGACTGCAACTTTTATTTGTATTTTCATTATTTCGTCTGCAGCGGCAATAACTACCACAACAATAACACAAACAATGGCGAAATGCAATTCGACGCGTCAAGTGAATTAAGCGATTTTTAAAGCTTTACGCTAAATGAAATTTGAATTGCAAAAGTGTTCACTTGTGTGTGCAAATTAAATTACGCAAATCAAATAAATGCTTTAACCGAAACCGGAGGAAAACGAAATAAATAAACAAACCAATACAAAAAATTCGAGCAAGAATCAAACCCGAAAATGTTGCCCAAAAAAATCAAGCTACAATTTGTGTAAACAATTCAACGAATACGTTTTCCCATCTGCCACAGATAAATAGAGATACAACACTTAACCAAACAAGCACCAAATAGAATATAAACAATAATAAAAAATGTTTATTTTAACGGTAATTAAATTGCTGTTGATAGCCTTAAATATATTTCCCAGTCGATTTACGAATCGACGGATTATGTTTCTCATCTACATGACGAATCTGGTGACACACGGTAAGTGTGCGATTAATAAACTAAACTAACTATATTCAGTATTAATTTATTATGCATTTATTTTTTTGAGGATTTAATAAAGCTTGTGATAAATTGATAATTTCAGTTTGGGTTTTTTGCTTACCAGAGACCACATTTTTGTTGGGGATTATTAAACAGAATTCCTATTAAATGGAATTGAATTGCGTAGTTTCCCTTTTCATTGTTTAAGCCTGTCCCCAGGCCTGGAAAATCCTTTCCGAATCCCTAAATAAGCTCATATTCGCTACTAACCCTAACGTGTTGGGTTCCCATGTTGGAACTGTCAGATCTGGTCATAATTTAATTAAGAAAATGAGACCTCAAAACGGTGGCCACACGGCCTGTCCTGCCACCCAGCCAGAACCCAAAACATTGGCCCAAACGCAGGCCGAAGTCGTGAACCGTGACACAGCTGCAGTACTGGTGCCTACCAGTACAAGGGGGCGTGGCCGGGTATGGGGTAGAAGGCGCCAAAGGGGCGTGCTCCGACTGCACAAGCCAGATAAGGGGAAAAACACGGCCAGAAGGTAGAACATTTTTTTCAAACAGGTGTTGGCAGGATTCTGGAGCATATGGTTTGAAAAGCAAGAAAGGGTATTAAAAAGACTTCACTCTTTAATCAAATTCATGCCAAAAGTTAAGTTTTTCTTTACTTTAGTTTAAAACATAATTTTATAGACTTAAAGATAATATTTATCCTTTTTTAGTAACTATGTAGGTATATCGAAGTCGTCTAGGATTTTTATATTTCGTTTTGTTTGTCTTATTTTTGCAACACTTCCGCCGCAGAGACAGCGCCATGAAAACGAAGTGAATGCATAGAAAAGGAAAATGGCAACGTACCACCCTGCCACAGAGACAAAGGTTGCATCAGGCAACAGGCTACGTGCTACGTGCTGCCATTCCCCGCCACACGCCCCGTCTGGCCAGATACTGGATAAAAAATTGCTTTGTTTAATTATTTCATAATGACGCTGCGGCTGCGGCTGCCACTGTTTTGCTTTTGTTTTTGCTGCCACACTGCCGTTGATTATATTTGGCCTCTGGGTCAGGAATTTCCGGCAACAGCTGCTATTGCTCCTCCATCAACATTTGCACTTCTTTATTTTTATTACCCGGTACACTACCGGGCCGGGCTTTAATGACTTCGTTACCGTGTTTCCTTGTTGCCATGGCAAGGACTCCCTGGCCTACAAATTATTTATAGCCAGGGACTATTAATGTGGGACTTAAAAAGTAACTATTTTAAAAAAGAAATATTACTTATGAATAAGTAAATAATGAAGGAGGCTTATAAGATATGAAATAGACAAGATAACTTGGCTTATGGGTCGCTCGGTAATAATTAGAAAGGCTTAACAAACATAGTTTTTATCAAGGCATTGCATTTAAAATTATAAGGAAGATATTAATAAATATTAATATTTTTTATAATAACATTAGTCTCATATATCTAATTTGAATGATTTCCTAGCATCCTAAGCAACTGCCTCATTATAAATATTCCAATTGCTTTTATCTCCTTGAAACCCTATCCATTTCTAATTTGAGCATTATCAAGGCAATCCCTCAGTTTCAGGAAAATTCCTTTCTCCACTCCTTTCACTCGTCACTCATTAACTAACTGACTTTCCCTGTGGCTTTCTCTCGGCCATTGTCTATATCTTGCAGTCATGATGGATGAGCCACGCTTTGCACAGCCGATACCGAACGTCACCGTCGCCGTGGGTCGGGATGCCAATCTTCCCTGCGTGGTGGAGCATCTGGGAGGCTACAAGGTGAGTGGCGAAAGGGGAAAATCCGAGGGTGAGGTAAAGAAACCCCGGAAAACACTCTATAGCCGGCAGGGAATGTCATAAATCGTGCGTAAACTGAGCACTTGAACGTCGGTCGGTCATTTGATGAAGGAGTTAGTAACCGGGACGGGCACTGTCAAAAATCAATTTCACAAATTGCACAAAGGATGGCAGACGTTTGGCACTTGAAGATAAAAGGCGATTTTGAAATGCCTATCAAGATATAAGCATCGAATTCAATGGAAATTTAATGACCAACTGGTTTCCGATGACTTTCGGCTGTCATTAGCAGGAGCCGTAGACGTTTGTTTGCCCCGAAGAAACAATTTAAGGGCCCTGCTCTGCATATATGGATTTAATCCACAACTAAGCTAAGGATATAATCGGGATACAGCAGACAGGACCTCTGGTGCTCTCTCGGCCAAACAGAATGGCTAGAAAATCACTTATCATTTATCTCCCTCAGCTGCTGGCACACAGCGAGCTCATAACAAATCACAAATATTTACTCGCCATATCAACTTCATATAAAACACTGTCCCCAGGATCTGGCCAGGCCGGCTGGGCCAGAGTCCTGGTCCTTGTTCTTATTGGACTTTTGTCAACATTGGCCAGGACATGAATGTGAGAAAAAGAGAAAGTCTCAAGGCGAAAGGACGAAGGCGGAAGAGGCGAGAAACTCATTGCTGTCAGAGCTGGTTCTGAGGGAGAATTTGAAAAGTTTGCAGCTGACTCAAGGCTGAGCGAAATCCTTGCATCAGGATAAGTCCATCCCTCAGTGCACTGAAGGTACAATTTTAATTTTGGTGATGAAATAGTGAAATATTGGATGAGTACCTTTTATCCGTATGAGTACAAATTAATTCTGCTTTAAACAAAACTCAAAACTAGTATTAAAAGGTATCTAAAACTGCCATAAATTTTATAAATTCTTTAGAAAAGTTTCCATATGTTAGCTTTAGTTTTACTTCCTAAAATTTTCTCTGTGCATCCTGTCTGTCACACGCAACCGGCAAAGCGAAGCCCAAAGAAAGTGCGAACAGTCTGCTAGGATAAAAGAAAAAAGTGTATTAAAAATGCGGAAACAGCTGTCAGGCTGGCTTTATCCTCGAGTCCTGCGTCGCAACATGACGTTCATTTATAATGGCAGAGGGCTCCACATGTGTTGGCAGGGGCCTTAGTATTGTGTGATATCCCTAAAAGGCAACATAGCCTTGAGGGGCTTTGACATTAGTTGGTCATATTGTGAGCGAACGATGCCAATCGATTTTCCGAAAATTTTCAATTTTCCAGGTTGCCTGGATTCACATTGACAGGCAAATGATTTTGACAATCCACCGGCATGTAATATCCAGAATACCGCGCTACAGCATCACCTACACGGATAATACGTGGCTGCTCCACGTGAATCAGGCTCATCAGGATGATCGCGGCTACTACATGTGCCAGGTCAACACCAATCCCATGATTAGCCAAGTGGGCTACCTACAGGTGGTGGGTGAGTACGGCCATGGTCCAGGACTCGTGCAGGGATATCATTAAAATTGAAAATATCCGCAGTGCCGCCAAACATTTTGGACATCGAGAGCACACCGTCATCGGTGGCTGTGCGTGAAAATCAAAATATCAACATGACATGCCGGGCCGATGGTTTTCCGGCTCCGAAAATTATTTGGCGACGTGAGGATGGCGAGGAAATTGCTGTTGAAAAGAAGAAAAAAGGTAAATCGGAGAGGGGGCTTCAATGACTTTATAGTTTGTTAAAAAAAAGAATATTTCTTCAACAAATTTTTATTTTTAAAAACTGTTTTACATTTTTTCTGAGCTACGTGTTAATTTACAAAATTCTCATACTCTTTTTTCCTATTTCCATCCATGTCCTGGATACCCCATAAAAACAGTGCTGGTTTACGATGGTGATGTCCTGCCACTGACCAAAGTGAGTCGCAACGAAATGGGCGCCTATCTATGCATCGCCACCAATGGAGTACCGCCCTCAGTGTCCAAAAGGATCATTTTGGACGTGGAGTGTAAGTATTCGATGACTAGCTTAAACATTTGGAGGGGTACAGGAACTAAATGGGAAATGAAAGCCATTCCCAGCCAGGTGACAGGGGAGAGTGGGTGGGCCCTTGTATTAAATTAGATCGTAGTTGGCTGCCTTTGTCGGTTTTAGTTGGAACACGCGCGCGCACTTACCGGAGCGCGTCGTGGCCATTCATCCAGCCCGGCTATCCATCTATCCTATCCGGCCATCCTGGCATCCATCCAGCCATCCTGCCATATTCCTTGCGTCTCGTCTGTCGCTTGTACCTGCTGCTCATCAATTTAACTGCACGCTCGTTGCTCTGGCAATGAGTGACAAACGCAGCTAAGCTGCCGCCATCTAATGCAGCTGATATATAACTAGGGATACATGTATAAAATACACTGAAAGAAATAACAGGTTGAAAGTCTAAAGAGAACAGCTGTTCAGCTTAAGGAAAATAGGGATTAAAATTTTCCAAATATACTATTTCTGTATTAATTACTCCCCATCCTTAATACTATTTTTTTCATCCTTTTTCAGTGGTATACAATTTTATTTTCTGTGTATTTGGAGCGGTAAGGATATGGTATCCTCGCGCTGGGCGTAAAAGTTACGCTGCCATTGCACGCCGTGCGCCAGTAAACGCTTGTTAATCCTAACGAGTTTCAGCCGGCTACCCCCTACTTCTGCCCCCTCCTCCTCACAATGCCCTCCCCACTCCCCCTTTTGACAATAATTCACGTCACGTACCTGCAATAAAGTCACTTGCCGGCGTTGCACGTATGACTTTGACGGCGTTTTTCTGTTTCGCCGTGTCTCTCCGCCAATATGGGGCATGCCACACACATCCATAGCGTGTGGCGGTGTCTGTGTGTTTTTCTCTCTATTTTATTATGAACGGTTTTGTGCGTGGCTGAGCCGATTGGGAGGAAAAATCGGCATGAGGCAGGAACAGTGAGGAAAACGCTCCCCAAAGCCAGACTCTTATTGCAGGTGTAGGCATTGTCAGTAGCGTTTAAAATTGCCAACCTCCTCGCTCTTCGATTTTGTTGTTCGGTTTCGGTTTTGAAAATACGCAACCCAATACATAGTTTCATTGAGGTTGGCTAACAGAAAAGCCAAGGATACCATTCATTTTGTGTTAAGTGAGATGGAAGGCGTAATATATTGGAACTCAGAGCAAGATGAATGTTTAACGTTTAAGGTGGGGTGAGGCTTTGGGCTACAAAAACGTTTCAGACAATAATGTTTTATGGCTTTTTAATTTTAAAAGATTTATTTTTAGAACCCATGATTTATAGATACTAATATATGAATAATCCTAAAAAAAAGTCCCATGCTTCTATCTACAAAAAACACGGAAGTAGGGTCATTTCCGATAGTACAGTTATATGGCAGCTAAAGGATATATTCCCCTATATGGAGATATAGTCCCCCATCACTCACAGTGATGGCTATATCTTCCCCAATACTCATCCGATTCTCAAGCGGAGTACCTTGAACGATTTCTGGATCGATTTGCCACCATTCTGCATCAAAATCCTGAGACAAAATAGTTTTTAGATTTTTTGTCCATTTTTCAGGATGGGATCCCTTGGAAATGGGGTTTCTCCCTATAGGGTCCACTGTGATGGCTATATCTTTACCAATACTCATCCGATTCTCAAGCGGAGTACCTTAAACGATTTCTGGATCGATTTGCCACCATTCTGCATCAAACCCTGAGACAAAATATTTTTTCGATTTTTTGTCCATTTTTCAGGATGGGATCCCTTGGAAATGGGGTTTCTCCCTATAGGGTCCACTGTGATGGCTATATCTTTACCAATACTCATCCGATTCTCAAGCGGAGTACCTTAAACGATTTCTGGATCGATTTGCCACCATTCTGCATCAAAACCCAAAGACAAAATATTTTTTCGATTTTTTATCTATTTTTCATGATGGGACCCCTTGGAAATGGGGTTTCTCCCTATAGGGTTCACTGTGATGGCTATATCTTTACCAATACTCATACGACTCTCAAGCGGAGTACCTTAAACGATTTCTGGATCGATTTGCCACCATTCTGCATCAAAACCCAAAGACAAAATATTTTTTCGAATTTCTGTCCATTTTTCATGATGATCCCTTGGAAATGGGGTTTTCCACTATAGGGTCCACTGTGATGGCTATATCTTTACCAATTCTCATCCGATTCTCAAGCGGAGTACCTTAAACGATTTCTGGATCGATTTGCCACCATTCTGCATCAAAACCCTGAGACAAAATATTTTTTCGATTTTTTGTCCATTTTTTATGATGGGACCCCTTGGAAATGGGGTTTCTCCCTATAGGGTCCACTGTGATGGATATATCTTTACCAATTCTCATCCCATTCTCAAGCGGAGAACCTTAAACGATTTCTGGATCGATTTGCCACCATTCTGCATCAAAACCCTGAGACAAAATATTTTTTCGATTTTTTGTCCATTTTTCATGATGGGACCCCTTGGAAATGGGGTTTCTCCCTATAGGGTCCACTGTGATGGCTATATCTTTATCAATTCTCATCCCATTCTCAAGCGGAGAACCTTAAACGATTTCTGGATCGATTTGCCACCATTCTGCATCAAAACCCTGAGACAAAATATTTTTTCGATTTTTTGTCCATTTTTCATGATGGGATCCCTTGGAAATGGGGTTTCTCCCTATAGGGTCCACTGTGATGGCTATATCTTTATCAATTCTCATCCCATTCTCAAGCGGAGAACCTTAAACGATTTCTGGATCGATTTGCCACCATTCTGCATCAAAACCCTGAGACAAAATATTTTTTCGATTTTTTGTCCATTTTTCATGATGGGACCCCTTGGAAATGGGGTTTCTCCCTATAGGGTCCACTGTGATGGCTATATCTTTATCAATTCTCATCCCATTCTCAAGCGGAGAACCTTAAACGATTTCTGGATCGATTTGCCACCATTCTGCATCAAAACCCTGAGACAAAATATTTTTTCGATTTTTTGTCCATTTTTCATGATGGGATCCCTTGGAAATGGGGTTTCTCCCTATAGGGTCCACTGTGATGGCTATATCTTTATCAATTCTCATCCCATTCTCAAGCGGAGAACCTTAAACGATTTCTGGATCGATTTGCCACCATTCTGCATCAAAACCCTGAGACAAAATATTTTTTCGATTTTTTGTCCATTTTTCATGATGGGATCCCTTGGAAATGGGGTTTTCCACTATAGGGTCCACTGTGATGGCTATATCTTTACCAATACTCATCCGATTCTCAAGCGGAGTACCTTAAACGATTTCTGGATCGATTTGCCACCATTCTGCATCAAAACCCTGAGACAAAATATTTTTTCGATTTTTTGTCCATTTTTCATGATGGGACCCCTTGGAAATGGGGTTTCTCCCTATAGGGTCCACTGTGATGGCTATATCTTTATCAATTCTCATCCCATTCTCAAGCGGAGAACCTTAAACGATTTCTGGATCGATTTGCCACCATTCTGCATCAAAACCCTGAGAAAAAATATTTTTTCGATTTTTTGTCCATTTTTCATGATGGGATCCCTTGGAAATGGGGTTTCTCCCTATAGGGTCCACTGTGATGGCTATATCTTTACCAATTCTCATTCGATTCTCAAGCGGAGTACCTTAAACGATTTCTGGATCGATTTGCCACCAGTCTGCATCAAAACCCTGAGACAAAATAGTTTTTAAATTTTTTGTCCATTTTTCATGATGGGATCCCTTGGAAATGGGGTTTTCTACTATAGGGTCCACTGTGATGGCTATATCTTTACCAATTCTCATCTGATTCTCAAGCGGAGTACCTTAAACGGTTTCTGGATCGATTTGCCACCATTCTGCATCAAAACCCTGAGACAAAATAGTTTTTAGATTTTTTGTCCATTTTTCATGATGGGATCCCTTGGAAATGGGGTTTTCTACTATAGGGTCCACTGTGATGGCTATATCTTTACCAATTCTCATCTGATTCTCAAGCGGAGTACCTTAAACGATTTCTAGATCGATTCTCCACCATTCTGCATCAAAATCCTGAGAAATATTTTTTAAATTTTTTGTCCATTTTGTCCTTAAAAATGGGGTTTTCCCATATATGGCTCAAAGTAAAGGCTATATCTACACTTTTGACCAATATTATAATACCCTCTGCAAGGGTATAACAAACAGAAGGAAGTTTTTCTTGTTCCACGGAAAACTTTTTATGTCAACTGCCACACATTCCACGACAAACCCATCCACATCACGTACTTCCCAATAAGTGTAGCTATTTTTCCTCCCTTTTGCTGACGTGTTGTCTTAGCCATATTGTATGTATATTGCCCCACTTCAATGCTGGCTGTCTAGGTTTCCAGCTTTGTCATTGCACTTTCATTTTAAGCTGACTGGAAAACGTTGAACAGGCGTAATGCTGCCGCTTATGCGTGCTTTGCAACGACACCTGAAAGCCTCCCAAACCTCTATCCGTCCCACCCTTTGTCACCTGAGCATATTCCCTTTGGTTCTGTTTACATTTGCCAACGTTCCGTATCAAAAATCTTTCTCTTTTCATTTCAAAACAGTTTCGCCAATGATTTGGGTGCCGAATCAACTTGTTGGCGCTCCATCCGGCACAGATGTAACCATCGATTGCCACACGGAGGCGCATCCCAAGTGAGTTTTCCATAGATTTTCATTTACTCCAGTTTTTGTAGCATACATTTAAAGGCACTGTGGGAGTGCTTGCATGTTTGAAACTATATTATTTTAACTTTTGATTTTTAAATGCTCTTACTAGTTTACTTTTAGTTTATATACCTAAATTGTTTAATAGAGTATTTAAATTTCATGATTTGAATTGAAAAATTTGTTATTGCACCTGGATGCAGTGAGTTTTTACATGTAATTTTGCGTCTCTGTTGAGTTTTGCTCATTCGATTTGCCTTTGATTTTGTTAAAATATTTACTTTCATTTGAGAATTTGATTAGTTTTCTTCTATCCTCTGTCAGTGTGTTTGTGTTGAATATATTTTCGTTTATATTCGATTTGAGTTTAACTGCAAAAAGTTGAAATGCTGATATGCCCTCTCCCATCTGTTCCACCCACAGGGCCATCATCTATTGGGTGTATAACTCGGTGATGGTATTGCCGAGCAAGAAATACAAAACCGACTACACGGAGAACTCCTATCGGTAAGTCAGAAACAAAATATAGAGGCTGTTGGAGATACCAAAACTAAAAAAAATAATCATCCAACATACAACATCTAAAATTGTGTTGTTAAATATTTATCATGCATTTGCACTTGCCTTTTGGGGGTCAGGTGCAAGTGCAGCTCAAAGTTCCCGCAAATGTTTTTGCCCCCCAGCTCACAGATAAGCCGTTGAACTATGAGAATTCAAACGGGGGAGGGGGCTGGGAGGAGCGGTAAAACGTTTTGTGGGTATATCCTTAAGCTTAACGTAACGTATCCTTTGCAGTGCCCACATGAAGCTGACGATAAGAAACCTACAATATGGTGACTTTGGCAACTATCGATGCATCTCGAAGAACTCACTGGGGGAAACGGAAGGCTCCATACGTGTTTACGGTAAGAGCATTTGTATTGGTAACTTAAGTGCACTAGTTACAGCAAACATAGATGCACTTGAAGAAAAACTAGCTATCATCTAGCATGGAAACATTATTAAGATATCAATAGGATCATAATTTCAATAATTTTGAAATTAATACAAATTAAGTTTTATTTTTTTAAACAACCTTATTAGCCCTCTTGATTTTTTTCAAGTGCACCGTCGCACACCCTGAGCAATGCAATATCGTGCGCCCTTTGTGGCACAATTTTGCCGAAAGCTTTTACCTATAGACCCTGAATCCAGGAGCTCCTACATGCACTATACCGTGTCCTCTAGAGCGTAAAACTAAACGAGCGGTTGCTGGTGTCTGGTCCTGGCTAGCCTCCTTTCTCCACCCCTGTCGTCCAACCCCTTCCACACCCACACCTCATAGGACACCCCCAAGCTTATTGCCGGCAAGACACGGAGACACATTCACCATAAACGTAAACGGAAAATAAAGGTGAATTTCGGAATTGTTTGACTTTGTATCGTTTGCTAGCCCAAGGACTTCTTCCCCCCACATCTACGTGTAGAGTATTCGAGTGTGTCTGTGTATTGCTTGCGTTTATTTATTTATTTTTTGTGCACTTGTACTGTCTTCGGGGTTTGTTTTAGTGTTTACAAGTCTGCTGATGCACTTGTACTGAAGATGTATTATTGGAAAGGTTATCGAAACATTTGTTGAAACTTTTTTGTCATTGGAGTCACTTGTTTTATTGTGGAGCGTTTAAAGGAAATGACTTAAATGGAAAATAAATGTTGGCAGGGTAACCCCAAGCAGGGCTGCGCAGGCAGAATTTCTCCATTAGTAATTACTAAGACTTTAGTAAATTAAAATTTCTTTGATTTATGCACACTTTGACTCCAGTCGTAAAGAGAGTGTGTGTGTGCTTGACCTTACCACTAGAGAACCCACTTGACATAGTAAACCAACAAGCAGGAGAGCCCACATAAAAACGAAGCCTGCATAATGTAATGAAAAACCATTTTGTATAATTTGATATATTTTCCATTTTTCCATTTTCTGGCTTACAGTGGCTGCCTCTGGCTGCTAGCTGCCTGTTTCTAATTATTAATTATGCTATGTTATTCAATTCCATTTGCAGAAATACCTTTGCCATCCACGCCATCCAAGCAGGTCACCCACACCACCGTCGAGTCCAGGGAGAGTAAGTATGGTATCAGTCGGTGGGGCTTACTCGGGGGAATGAGGGAACTAAAGGGATATGGAATGCTTCGTATTTGTGCTTAACACATTCGGTGTTGAGCGTGAAAGTCACACCAACCCACACAGACACACTCAAACACATAGACTCGGAGTCAGGAGCAGGATACAGGATACGGCGAGCCACAAACAAAACTGCGAAAGTAGCAGCTAAGCCAGACAGATCCTCAAACAGGAGCGGGAGCGGGAGGCGAGGAAAAGGGGCTGGAGTGGGAGTTGGAGTAGGACACGCCCACAAAGAGATAAAGTAAAGCACTTTTGACTATTTCAGCGACGGGGCCTTCGCCTTCTTCTATCTGACATCCACTGACACTCGAAGAAAAGATAAGATATATTGTTTAAAATATTTAAAAAATGGACAAAATTCTGACTTTTAATAATTTAATAAAACCTTAAAAGAAATAAGACCTTAAATTTCAATTCAACTTTTAAAACTAAATACTAGTTTTACATTTTTTAAAAAGCATTTTTTCGTGCTTCAATCTCCAGTTCTTGTTGAAATTCAAGTCGAGCAGAAAAGTACACACACTTTCAAGTCTCCGTCCTCCATGTCCGTGCCATGTCCATGCTGGCCGTGTCCTTTTCCTTTACCCTACTCCATGTCCAGGATCTCAGCGTACCCTGGCAAAGCAATATGCTGGGGATTATGCCGGGGCGGAGGATTTTCGGGGGCATTAGGTTGGAAACACATTTGAAACACTGCCGCAGATGCTCAGCACTGGAGGAGAGAGCAAAAGACCAAACATATTTTATTTAAAGTGACTGGCAAAGCAGCGCGCGAGCAATGCAACGGAACCTAATCCAGGAGTCAGCCAACAAAGAATGTTTTCCTTCCTATATGTGCTCCTGGGCTCTTGTGTGTACGACTTTGTGTGTGCCTTTGTGCGGAGAAAATAAATTTTTTGTATCGCAGCCAAGATTTCCACGCAATTTAACTTGAAAACCGTGTCAGGCTGGGGTTAAGTTTGGTTTAAGAGACCGCAACTTTTATTAGTCAATAGTGACCCAAAACTAAACAAACTGAGAACCGAGGACTGTGGAAACAATCAACAACTTTGGAATGTTTTCAACTTAAAGTTTCTTAGGGAAGAGTTTAGTGTTCAGTGGAAAAAAATTGAAATGTATTTTGATGTATATATTTTCATTCCAAATCTACAGACAATATTATACCCTCATCACGCAACGACACAACGAAATCCATGCAAACGGATGTGGGATATGCCATAAGAAACGATTTATATCCTGGCTCGGCCTCCTCGTCCTCTGCCGGTCCTGGTGGCAGCTCCTCGGCGGCCTCCTCGTCCTCGACCTCGATGCAGACATCGGCCCTGCCGGGCGGCGGCGGTGCTCCCGGCAACAGTCTCTCCTCCTTGGGGGGCAGTTCCAAGGGCTCCCTGGCGATAGGCAAGAGCATGTTCTACACGGAACGACCACCGAATGAGTACGCCTCGTCAGTGGGTAAGTGTTTCAGAAATGCTCATCAGGCGTCATCCGACAGACCCTTTAAAACGATATATGTATCTCTCCTTCTCTCCTAGCTGACATGGTGCCTCAGAGAGCTCTGCTCAGCTGCTCGCTGCTGTTGGGGTCTGGAGTCTTTCTGGTCCTGCTTTGAAATCAATAAATCGTGTTTGAGTTACTCAATAAGCATTTCGAAAATGCAGCCAAAGGGGGTCTAGAACGGGGCGGGATAGTTTAGGTACATCAACATATTTCATAGCTGAAAGTATATCAAAAACCCAATAATACGAGTAAACCAAAACGAAAAGAACAAGGATGCTTCGAACATGGCTAGCGCCAAGGCTACAAGAATTTGTAAAATTATGGAAACGAAAAGCAAAAGGGAAAAGTATTTTGCAAAAACTATAAAATGCTCATTGTATGTATAATACTTTTTGAAATTGTAAGCTTAAGATGGATGTTCATCCGGAAATATTACTTGTACAATACGTAGACTATGTTACCAATAAGATTAACTATTAATTTTTGAACTTTATACAAATGTGAGTTTTTCTTTTCTTTCATTTATTTCACCACCAACATATCAATTAATAAGATTTCATATCGTATGAACCATAAAGTTGAATTGAAACATATCCCAAATTGCAGAGACAAGATTACTATTTTATGATTAAGGTTTTCCGATTATCAGAAGTGGATTAAAAATATAAACACCTCTTTTCACTGTTTAAAAAGCTTCCATATACCGACCGACCTTTAACACCCCACCGTCAAAGTCAAGAGGATTTTATTTCGCTGCAGGACAACCCCTTTTCGCACTCAAACGAACAGAAGCAAAAAAAAATCCAATTTATTTAATGAAAGAAAAAGTCGATGGGATGTCGTCGTTGTGGCAGCCACCCAGCCACGCCTCCCGATAGCTGGTGATGGCTTCAAATTTTTTAGCCATGCGGGGCATTTAAACGCCTTAAAAATGTCACTCGATTTTTACAGCCAACCCGCTCCGGCTGGTGGGGATCTTGCTGGCGGAGATGGTTAAAATTTGCAATAATAATTTGCATCGGCTTGATTCCGTTTCCTGGCTCCGGGTTTCCAGTATTTCGGCCTCGTCATCGCCGGCTTTTGCGAACTTCCATCATTTTTTAATAAATGTGCATGCTAATTATATTATTACTTATACGACCCGTGGACCCATGTGTACTACTGCCTTCCTCCCCTTCGCCCGGCATTGGCCATCTCGCTCGCGTCTGCCGGGCAGGCTTCATCTGTGCAAAATACTTGCAATTAATTTCAGCATAAAATTGCGTGGCCTGCGGTCTCCTGGCCCCGCACAATGACACACAGTTAACATGTCCAATTTATTGGCCATAACTCATGACCCGGCCCAAGGAACGGGTGAGTGAAAGAGACAGGAGGAGAGAGAGACAGACAGACACTGCGACAGCACCATCGACGGGGCAAAGAAAAATGACATTAAGGCCAGAAGATATATGGCACATTTGCATATAGGTTCATGTATATGTATAAACCGAACCGCCGCGGGTTTCGGTTTGGAGGACTGGGAGGTTGGAGGTTAAAGGCCTGCCAATTTACTGTATTTATACCTCACGGTGTTGCAAGCGGGCAGGATGCCTCGTCGCTTCGTTGCCGTTGCACGATTTTAATAATTCAACTTGTGTTGCATAAAGTTTGCATTGACATAAACATAATGAACGATGGAAAACCGCATGCAAAATTGCCTTTCTCCGGCTGGTTGACAGAGGCTGTCCCCCCTTTTCCGTGCGATCTCTTTTTGGTTTCATTAACGATTTTAATGCCAGCGAGAAGAGAAGGGAGAATATCGCATCCAGACTTAAAAATATTGATAGTCGAGGGTCTGGGACGTGTTGACATTGCAACAATAACAAAATTAATGTATTTTATTTAATTCCCCTCCCCATGCAACAATGCAGCTAATTAAGCATTTTGAATGCAGGACTGCAAAAGGTCGAAGGATATCTTAAAATCTGCACAACAACTCTTGGGTGTCGTAAATTTATTTAAAATTCTGCCCCAAATATTCGTGCATTATTTATTTTAATGGCTTGACCCAAAAACGCTTCCATAAATAACACGAAAATATTTCAAAAACTTGAACCGCAGTTTTTCGTTTAATTAGTGAATGGCGCCAATTAAAATTGCAACTATTTCGGTTTTAATTTTTTTTGTGTAAATAAGCCCCCTTTGGGGCGTTAATAACTAGCTGTAAATAAATGTTGACCCTTTTAGTTGTGTGTAAATATGGTGAGGCATAATTGACGCATCAAACACTCGGAATTTCACATAAATATCCAATTCAATCAGCCAGAAAATAATTCAAAGTACATTAGCCATTAAACTTTAAAAGGAATTAATACTTGGAATGGGAATGTAAAATTCGCATAAATAGGACATAAATCATTCATGTAACTTGGCAAATATCACAATAATTATAAATACATATGCGAGTATATTAAAAGATTTAAATAAATATATGCCTATACGAAGTAATTGTATTGTTTGTTGCCTGTATTTGAAAGATTAGCTCAACATCAAGTGAATAATATTCAGTGTTTGAAGCTTTTTTGCAAATAAAATAAAAATAATATTGACGGATGTGTTTTCCTATAAAAAAGTTTCCATTGTGTAAAATAAATATAAATGGTAATTAAAATAGATGAAACAAAATAGAAATGGTGTATTAAGTTGATTGAATTTTAGCGGAAAAATTAATTTACTTTTTTTGAACGCTAAACTATTGTAAAATAAAAATCTCAAAGAAACGAAATTTAAGCTAAAATAACAAATCTACGTTTAAGATTAATAAATTTAAATTGTAAGCAGTTATACAATTATGCGATAATAATTATATAATAAAACTTTAGGTTGATTGATACCAAATACAAGAACAACAACAACAAAAAGAAACGCAAACCAAACAAAACAAACAAAGTAAATGAACATAAATAACTGTTGTTTCATTAAACCATTTGCATTTAATTCTAGCTCTCAATTACATGGGGGAATGCCGAATGCTGTTTGGCTTTGGCTTTGGTTTTGGTTTGGCATTTATGCAAATTTCCTGTTTTCCGGCGCTTGACATTTGGCCGTGTGGCTCTCGCATTCTCGCCGCCAAAAAGCAAAAAAAAAAAATTATAACGTTAATGAGAGCGGTTATTTAGAGTCAAATACACGCCAACAAAACCTGTCCGCAATTAGTTTTTCGGGAGAAAATATTGGCCTTCCTTGGGTAAGATTTTTCTTTCAGTATCGCGCCACCAGACCGCCAAAACCGCCGGTGTGCGTCGTCTGCTAATTGTTTGAGTCACGCAAACAAATTTCACACAGAATATATGCTAAACACTCTCCGGCCTCGCCGCACAAGAAAAATGTTTAATAATTTAATGTTATTTGCATAGATTTTAGCAACTTGAGCGTTGACATTCGGCAATTAACCTTGACACGCACACCCGCACCCCAAGATATATAAATAAAATAAAAACCAAGCTGTATGACAAAACGTTTTTCTCGTGATTCACTGCGTATACGCAATATTTCTTTAAACATTCTCTAAAGTTTCTCACACATTCGAGGGGGTAACCACTTGGGCACACTAACATTATCATAATTACAGGCTGGATTCAAGGGATGTAAGACGGTGGATGAGGGGCTGGATGCTGGGAAATGGAAAAATAAGACCGGAGACACCTTGCAACTCTTATCTGAAATGCCTGCTTTGCGGCACTCGAGAAACTTTTCAAAAGTCATTTAAATTATGTGCACAAAAGCGCGAAAATTATGCCACGACGAGACGGAGATTCAGACGCCACTTACAGCCCACCACATGTACCCTTAAAAAGAGACAGTCATATGAATAGGGGAGTGACAGAGAAGGCACGACCGGAAAACACATTTGTCGGCAAAGTTTTTGCCTACAGCCTTCCTCTCCATGGCAGAGCCACAAAAATAGTTGAGTGCAAAGCGTGGAGCACACTTAAGATAAGCTTCGAGCGCAAAACTTTCATCTTACAAATACGCGCCGGCCGGGCCACCCACTCCCCTTCTAAGTCCGCCCCTGGCCGGGAGCCTTTTCAGAACGCATTCAACAAATTAATTCTGTGCCCGCTGTCTCTCTGGCTTTTTGTTGCTTCAGGAAATATGTTTAATTTCATTTAAATGTAGTAAGTGCAACACTTTGGTTAGCTCTTGCACAGATTTCAAAGGAACCAGGAAGTGGGCGGTGGGTCTGCCAGGATGTTTGTTCTTTGAAAGGAAAATCTTTCAGAAGGGAGTTTCATTTTGAGGTTTTTATTTGGTTTGGTCTTACTTTTTCATAAGAGATGAGATGACTTTAAGTTTATAAAACTGACCTGTTATTATAATATCTTTAACCCGAAATATTTTTCATCAAGGGGTCCTGGATTTAAGCTTTAACGTACAACTTCCGACATGCATATCCATCACTCTTTCGAGGGCAAATATCTAGTCCCCAATCCATCCAAACTTGTCAAACTTCATCAGCCAAATCATTACAAAATCTCAACTCCCTCTCCTATCCAGTAGTTTGCGTTGAACTTTCCAAAGTTTTTTTTTCTGCTTTTTCGTAAACAGTTCCTCCCGCAAATTGCAGCTTAAAATTTGTTGGTCCAATAGCCTCATGCACGTACAGCGAGGATACATTTGAGAATTTGCATACTGCATACTGCAGGCAGCTGGGCATCCAGGCAGTCAGGCAGCATTTCCCAATCCCGTTTTTCATATTTTCTTTGTTTTTTCGTAGGGATGCAGGATTCATCTGTCAGTTTTACATAGTGCCCCCTAGAGAAATTTGTGTTTGTTGCATAAAAATTACATCGTACATTGTTCGCGAACCGACTTTGATGGCTGCATGACACCAGCGGATCCTGATGTGCCCCCAAACACACCCATACACACACTCAGCATCGAGTGCGTCTGAGTGTGTGGCACTGTTTTTGGCATTTCTAAAAATGTTGCAGCATTGTTGTGTGGGGACTCATTGATGTGGCTGCTGTGACAACAAGCTCGCTGAAATGCTGCAGCTGTGGATTTTTTGGGTTCCCCACTTTTGGTATTATTCAGAGAGCGCAGGGCAATGACATCATTGCAGTTTTTATATGGACATTACGGTGGCCATCTAGAATGGCAGCAGACCACAATTTAAGAGGAAAGTGTGTGGATTGAGGACTGGGGAAAAAATAGCCAGCGGATATGAGAGACAAGTTTATGAATCGCATTTTTCGTTCATTATTAGCCATCATTTTGGGGAATAAAATAAAGTTGTTAAAAAGGGGATGTATTTTTGGGGAAAATAAGAGTTTTTTAAGGCCTTTAAATGCTGTTTATTCAAGTAGTATTTATGTCAATTATGTTGGCTCACGAAGAGTTCTTAAAGAAACATAAAGTGACAAAGACATAATTCATTGGAAAAAAGAAACCCATTCCTTACGGTCTTGTCTGCTGCCAGTTCCTTACTTTCCTGCGCATATTTGTTCGACTTTATTT